TGTTGAATAAGGATAATAAGAGAACCAGGTGGCTGTATCTCCATGTACTATAGATAAACTCTAACACTGCTGTGGTGTCTTCTATATTCCTCCCTCTGAACAACCTCTGTTGCTTGCTGACTGTGGTTTTGTAGATGCAGCTGCTTTTGTTGTTGTCTGAAAGGGGAAGCCCCTGAACCCCGCCCCTCCTGTCACATTGCCCAGCGCTGTCTGCTACTGCTGCTACATGAACAGCAACACAAGAGGAGAAACCGGCTGGATGGGTTTCCACACGCACATTGTATACCAGCACAACTGCATTACTGGTTTCTTTTGCAAAAAGCATTTCAGGGCCAGAACAAAGTTCTATGAGTTCAAATTTTCTTCACTCAGTGTGCATTAACTCAAGTTAGAAGAGGACTGAAGATGCAGACTTTACCGCAAACGTATCAACATGACACTATGGTGTTACTTTAGGTTTCACCTTTCTAGTCCTGACACACATTACCAGGAAGCACTTTTCTGTGTGACACAACATACCTTGGGAATGTTGATCCATCGGGCTCGGAGGGGGTCCCATCCCACTGTGTCCCCCTGGTCTCATGCCCATGCCCTTCATCTGGCCATAGCGAGGGTCATCGGGCACTCCCTTCTCATGCATGGCTTCCATTGGCTGGATAAATGAAACCAAATAATCATAAATGGAACAAACACTGAAGTTTGTGCAGTGTGACACTGGAACACACTGCACAAAACAATTAACAGGAAAGAAACATAAACTATGTAAATTACAGAAATGATTCCACAACCACTCACTTTATCTAATGATAAAAATTACTGTGTTTAAGCTATTCAAAATAATCACATGCATGTTTTAACAACAAGAGGATTGCGTTATTTGACAAAATGTCTTTTTTATTTTATTTTACTTTATGCATCTGGTGCATGTTGTCCTGAGGATATCCTGAGGGTCCCTGTGGAGGATGGGGGTGTCCTGATCCTGGAGGTCCTGGGCTAGGCCCCATCATGCTGTGGGCTGAGCCTGGTGAGGGACCTGGACTTGGCCCCATCATGCCTCCTGGAGATGGCCCTGGGCCTGGGGAGGGACCAGGGCGAGGTGTCCCTCCCATAGGGGGGTCAGGAGTGGACATCTCTCAGGGGGAATTGGGAATATGTGGCTGCAGGAAGTACCCTTAAAAGAGACATTACAACAAGAATTAAGAAAACCCATGTATACATGTTACTCGAGTTACTTAAAAAGAAAGGTGTTTCAAATAAATTCTAGACACTAGGAAAAAATACAACAAACTTTCTGTGTTTAAAACTAATTGAAATAATAGAAAATTTAAATGGAAATCTTCAGTACTTTTTTTGAAGAAAAAAAAAAAAAAAGGAAGAAGATGAAGAAACTCTATAACATTTTTAAAAGTTAAAAATTTCCCCTGTTATGGCCTGAAATCAAATGTCAAAATGTTTTACAAATGTTTATTTCATCTGACCAATAATCCAAACTCTGAATATTTTAAACCAGCACTGGTGAGACAAGAATAAATGAGCACATTATTTCATTGTGCCTGCTGACTTAAATGAATAACTGGTTATCTGAATTGTTACATCTTTACATCTGATCACAGTCTCACATGTTTCACGTTGCTCTGTGTTAAGACAATAGTATATTTATAAAGCCGTTCAATATTGGATGCTTCATTGCAGATGTGAAATGACTATTAAAATAATGTGCCATTTGGTGAAGTACACAAGTCGTAGTGCTTAGTACCGTTAAACATGAACTACAGACAGCTGACAGATGTTTTTATGCCGTTACAGCATTTAAATGTCCACTCCTGATGTCCTGCTGAAGTGTACAGTGCTGACAGGAACTAGATAATTCATATACTTTTTGCTGAATATCTGACTTTTAAAGATCAAGTGTGTCACACAAGAGATTTAACTTTGTCTAGATTTTTTTTTTTTTTAAACACAATTAGTTAACTTGAACATCACTTCGTGGAGAAAAACTGTTACGAGACACCTCTATCGAAGAGGCCCTATTATGACACAAATTAAACCCTTTGGTTAAAACAAAAAAACAAAAACCAGAGTCTCTCTTAAATCAACGGGAGAACAGCATAATAATAAAAACTTCGCCAAAGTCCAGTTGTCTAATGTTTACATTTATAAGCCAATAACAGTTGGGCTAGCTATTGTTGGCTAACGTTAGCCAGGCCTAGCAGAATGTAAAGTTTACGTTACATTATATATGTTAACTTTAACTCTCTCCAACTCGTAATGCAACACAGTCGTAGTGGTATTCACCGGGTTGCTGGTTCCGTCTGAAAATAACACTAAAACAATAGTATATCTACAAGGAACACAACCCGGATTTAAGACTTGTCGGCTGGCTCGTTAGCGAGCTACTTCAGTTAGCCTAGCCGGCCATGCTCTCCGAGGCCAATTAGGGCAAAAAAAGACGTGTTGTTTTGCGAGATAGTGGCCGAAATGCGGCGACATGTGAAAGGTTAGAGCATCCCTTCATCTACCAAGCTGATTGATCCAACGCGCCTCCCGTACCCCTGGCTCAGCGCTCTGCTCTTAGCACATTTCCAAAAACAATTTTCATTCATTACACACTGTCGCGCCACAGCAGCGGCACGGTAATGTCGGTCTCCTTTTCTGTAACGAAGAGGGGAAAAAAAACCCACGAAAGCTCAACAATCCTCTAACAGCAGCGTGAAACGCACACAAAACTCCCTTACTGCCCAAAGAAAAACTAAAGCGAACTTACACAAGTGGTGGAAGTTGATGTTTGAAGTGTCGCCGGCTGCAAAGTCTCTCCGTTTTCCTCCTAGCCAGAAACAAAGAGCGACCTACCCAGTTGGTTTTTTTCCTTCACCCCCCCCCCTCTCTCGGCAGATTGTATCGCGGAGACCGGCCTGTGCGGCTCTACAGCGCCGCCTCTGCGCAGGCTCCTCGCTCACTTCCCGCATGCTCAGTGCAGCCTCTGAGATACAAGCAGGCACGAAAGCCCTAGAAGCCGGCATGGGGGATGGGTGAACGAGGCAAACACTGTATTATGGACGAGTATATTGAAATATGATTTAACCCAACACGTATCAACGTGAAAGTACCCAAATGCTCTTAGTGCGCTTGAGAAACCACAATTAAATAAACTGGCACGAAAACGGTGTCGAGTGCACTTTTCTTTCATGTCATTATTGCTTTGTTTGTACCTAATAATAATATATATTTCTAACCTTGTGGCCAATGTGTGTTGTTGATCAGCATTTAAGACACATTATCTAATGATTGGTTTGCCGTTTACGCTACGAAAGGAAATATTTAAAAACGATACACGTAAAGACACTGTAACCCTACTATAATATGAAACAAAGAAAACAAAGGCATGTGAACCTCTAAAATGCTGTAAAGACAATTGTATTGGGTCAAACTACATATTGAGATGAATAAAATAGTTGCTCTTAGCACATTTCCAAGAATGTGCTAATTTGAATATACCATACATTATTTAGATAAAGCAGGATCATGCTCTTCTGCTTTATGTAGGGACCATCTACTTTTAATTTACCTTAATATTATTTGTTGTCATTATTCTAAAACGTGTATATGCACAGCACATACAAAAACACCATAAAATCATGTAAATCATACTTATGAGCTTAAAAAAATGTTTCAACTGCTCATCAATCTTTTTAGCATAATCAAGAAGAATATTTACTGTCACATGGTGGAACCTAGCTGACATGTGACTGAGGAACTTAAGGAACATGAGGTCATGACTGTGTCTTTAAGCTGGATTGGACACAATCCCATGCTAAGGTGCTTGGTATGGTAGTAAAAGGGAAACACCCAAAGTAAGAGTCAGGTTGGACTTCTGAGGGATGAGTCTCACTGTTTGGCCAAAAAGACTAGAGCTAACCACGTGGTAGGTTTTACAGGGATCTTGAGGTTACCGCTCTGTTTTAACTCCCCCACTTTTGTGTAGTTTTACTCTTTGCAGCTGTACAAACTATACCTAAATATAACTTGTCTTTTTGTCTAACATCTATGCAGTCACTGTAAAGGAAGAGAAGACTGCATCAGAATCCATAAATATCCATTATTTCAACTATAACATAATCAATACAAAAGCGTTTTATTTTATTTTATTTTAAGCCTCATGCACTCATTGAGGTGCAGTTGAAGCTGAACCAAGAAATGGCCTACGTTCACATCAACACATGCTCCTTTTTACTGATGTGTTGGCTATGTTTTTTCTCCCAGTTCTTGGAGAAGGCAGCACAGGTATGCTCTGCTCTCCTGAGACCTTCCAGGACAGACTGAAATGGAATTTTGTGGCTAGTAAAGGTGCCACCTGAGGGAACTGGAGGCCCCCTCCGGAAGACTGATGGCCCATCGTCCTGGGTTATCACATACAGGGGAAGCAAACTGAAAAACAGTAGGGATTCTGAGCAACCATTACTACCTGAACTTTAGTACCGTTTGCATTGTATTACATGCAAGGGACTGAGTCAACATTGTCATGATGGCTGCTTAGAAAAGATGAGGGGGACAAAAACACATTAATCAGATTTGTTTTCTCCTTTTGACCAAAACACTCTCTTCCCCTGACCAAACATGGTTGTTTCAGATGGCTGCCCCAAGATGATCCTGGTTCTGTGGGAAGCTTCTTCCTGTTAAAGGGGAGTTCTACCTCCGTACCATCACTAACCAGTTGCTTATCAAGGATGGTCATATCATTTTAGCTCTCTCTTATTGTGGGGTAATATATTACATTTTAAAGCTCCATGAGTTGACCATCGTTGTGAACTGAACTATATAAGCATCATTGAGACTGAAAACAACTATTCTTTCATGGCGATCCATCTTCTTTTGTTCTTGCTCCTCTTCTCAATCAAGCCTGATGTTTTCATAAGGTCAGTACAAACAGAAAATGCAGTAGTTAAAGTGAGAGTGCACTACAGTGAATACTTATTTATTTTTCATAAATTAATTTTCTCATTCCTAATCTGTTTATTTAGACAGCAAAAAAACAAGCCAACTTGTAACATTTTCAGTAAATCTCATCATTTTCCAGTGAGAGTAACTTTTTAAAACCCATTCCAGAAAAATTAATCTATTCACTTGTGCGAAATCAATCACAGTCGACTTGAAGTGTAGCACACAGGGCCATGACCTCATGGATATTTGGCTGATCTCAAGTCAATTAGGATGATGAGAGTTGATGAAATTATTAAAGTATTTACCTCTAAAAAAATAAAATAAATACAAACTGCAATAAAATATAACATTCTCAGTACTGATGCATAAACACTTCCCATGAAACTACTAAGGAGTCCATCTACCTCACTGTGTGCGAATGATGAGGACAATGTTCTTATGCTCAGTAATTTCCAAAAAGTGCAAAATGCTATGTTGAAAATTCAGTGAAGGACCTCCATCAGGGCAGAGATGAGCTTTTTATGTTTACAATAGAACAAACTCGTCCATGCTGCTGTTTGTATCAACTCTTCCCAGTTGGGTCTTCCTCTGTAGGAAGGTGACGCTGTGCGTGGGTGTGTTTGCTCTCGCTTCCTCCCGTGTTTTTCCTTCTTCAAATATAAACATGGGATATGTCTCTGCAGACGCTGACACAGCCTGTGGGAGACAGAAGGTGAACTAGAACTAATAACAATAAGCAGTGGAGAGTAGAATAATTCCTTCAAATTAACTTGATCGTTTTTTTGTTTTGTAAAAAATGACAAAACAAGTTTAGATCAGGTCTAACACAAATCATATTCCATGTAATAAAAGGCTCCTGGAACAGAAGCCCAAATGATCCATGCACATACCTCATTAACACTTGTGCACAACGACTCAAACTCCATTTGTCCTTTTGCATAAAATCCAATGGTGCAGCTGGGGTCCATGCGAGAGAAAGGCATTTTCCTGGGATTCTTACAGTGAAACGACTGCAAGCAGTGGGGACAGAAATGGGATCACACAAAAATCTCATTAGGGTCAGGAGAAACCCCAAAACGTCTCACATTGACGATTCAACAAACAGGTGGATATTTGTACACCATGTGGTGCTACTGCAGCTGCCAGGTTTTAACCGAAGTCATTACTTCATAGACAAAATGGGCATCCAGTCCATATACTGAGAGTGCATGAAAACATGCTAGCAAGGATGTAAGTAGAGAAGTTAACCGTTTATCTTCTCCTTTTAGTTAAGCGCCAGCACAGCATGGCCCAAGATATGGAAGAAAGTTAAAAGAATTCAACCGATTCTGATTGTGTCAGAATCGAGGCCACTGACTGAAAGATATCGGACTCTAACAAGTTAATAATAAACCTTTTGTCAACAAAGTATAACCTGGGTAAACTGAAAAGCAAATATGATCCATATAGTGAGTGTGATGCAAAAAATACAATAAAATTACATTTTTTTAATTTTTAAAAAGGGTATAGATATATCAGTCTTATCCAGTGTTATGAAGACAGAAATTGTGGAACATGTTTTCTTCTTTCAATGTAAAACACGAATATGAATTTTGGAATGATTTTTAAAACTGGCTTCACTCGGAACAATACATGTTTACTCACTATGAGTATGTGAGTGAAAACTGGGGTAACTGGACTGGTAATTAATCTGATCTATGCAAGCACAATATTTTTTGCATAAATCAAAACACGCAAAGTTTAAGTGGACGGAAGAAAGTTCTCAAAATATTTTCTAGATTTCTTTGACGGACTCACATATGCTTCTGTTTTATTATCATTTATTTAGTCGTCCATTTCTTGTCTCAACACCAGGGTATGGCTCTTCTCTTCAAGAGCCCTGAAGTGTTTGCATATTGTATTAATTAAAAGAAAACATCACTGCGTCGTTATAATCCCAAGGCGGCATGCCTTTCAGTTTGCGAACACCGACTTGAACCCAACCTCATCCCTGTTGTCCATCTTCGTGCTTTTATTTTTACTCAGTTTTAGTCCTTGCTCACTAAAAGCTCAGCATCTAAGTGCTATTTTTAGATGCGCCCTTGTCACAATGGGTCGCTACAGCAAGTAGCTCCACATGTTGGATTTTTACCTGACAAAACCCTGAAGGCATTTGTGTCTCTGACTGGAATTAAAAGTGCAATATTTTGCTTGCCAGGTAAACATATGAACAACTATAATATGGAAAAACTTCTAAAAAGTCATAATTGAATGGTTTTTATTCAAAGACATATATAAACTTTAAAAATATTTCATACAGTGTTCCAGGTTAAAATTAATTCAAATGACCGATAAGGAACACGCAGTGATACTGATGAAGGAGTAATTTGAGGGTTCCTCTTACACCTGGTGTTCTGCAAAGTTGCTGAGCCAGTTCTACTTGTTACCCTTTTAAAAACCAGCCTAGATTTTGAAAAGTTCCACAGGCAAACAATACATAGCAAAGTAATCTGTGAAACACACGAATTTTTCTTGATATTAATATTGATGTCAATTTTGAAAGCAGGAATTTTGTGCTTTCAAATTGGAAATGGTGCGAGCTTTTTATTTATTTTTCCACAGAAATGTTTCGAATCCATTTGACTTTGGCACAAGCAGAGGCCCGAGTCAGTGGAAAAGAGGTACTGTAGAGCTGTGGTGGTATGTCTCACCTTACTTAAAAGCGATCACAAGAGGAAACAAAACAGAAAGCCAGAAAGAAGAAGAGAAATGGTTGCTCATACCTCCAAGGGAAAGTTATTTGTTACATCCACTGTGGGCTGACAGTAGTGAGGGTCCAAGTACAGCAGATGGTTCTCTTTTGTACAAACGTGCCAGAGGAAGAAAGAAAATGTAAGGATGGACATGAAATGGCTCAACACAATAATCATAACACACAATTTACTCGGCTTACCCTGGAAGCCAACGAAGAACAAAGAATGCTTTGGTTTGCCGCCAATGATCCCGATGCAGCACTCCAACATCAAGAGTTTCTGTTGAAAGACAAAAGGAACGGCTGAGTTTTTCCATTCAGACATCCAGCTTTGCTTAAAAAACAAAACAAAAACAAACCCCCCTCCCCGTAAACATTCACAAACAAAAGCCTTAGAGACATATCTCTAAGTTCAGTAAGGCACCCAGATTACATTACGTAAAAATACTGGTTCTGTACTTTGACACTGGTGATGTAGGACGGATTGAGATCTTGCCCGCCAAGACGCACAGGAACCAGGATGAGGACAGATTTCCAGTGCTGAGGGTTAGGCCGTTCGCACAACTTCCTCACATCCTGCAGGTAGACTGAACGAAGAAGGAAAGAGACGTCTAAAGTCCATTCGACTCATTGAATCTTTTCAACACCAATTTAAGCTCTTAAAAGCAAACAACAAAAACCCACATTTTCTTTTTTTTAAAAAAAAGAATCAACTTTTTTTAAAGAGTTTATCCACAATCTCTTCTTAAAAAATAAAATATGTTGTGTTGCAAACACTATAAAGATAACACTCACTGGTGCAATCTTGTGCTACATACACAACTAGATTGGGAAGGTCCACTACTGAAGCTTCCACAGCTTTCCTGAAACAGAATGACCTTCACTGTTAGAGACGATAAACTTTTTAGTTCGACTGGTCTCTTACATCATCAATTTAAGTCTCACCGGAGGATATGTGCCGCAATGGACGGACCATACCAGTCCCCAGCCTTCTTCCCTGAGCTTTTGCCCAGTTCTACAAGCCGATGTATGCCAAAGGGAGCTGTGGGGTTGTCTGCAAACCAGCGTAAAATCATTCTGTGTGTACTCTCCACGGGTCTATCCAGGATGGACCCCCAGCTCAAATGTCGACTTATCTTGCTTTCCCTTTCACTCGAACTAAATCCATCGTTCACAGAGTGAATCAGGTCCATGTCATCTTTGACAACACGTTGGTTCCCAGACCAGGTGCAACCTTTAAAAAAAAAAAAAAAAAAAAAAGAAGAAGAAAAAGAAAGACAGTCGTTAGTGCAAAGTTTGTATATTTGTTTCACTGAGAAGTAAAATGCATTTTTCCACTGTTCTCATCTGTGGCAAAATGATTTTCTTTCAGATGAGTTTTTTTCTTAAGATATTTGTTTTGCCATACTGTAAAATGTTATTGAGCTATACACCATTCTACCTACTGTATGTTCATCATTTGTTGTGTTTAACTTGTTGTGATTTAAAATTCTGTAACAAAACTTCTAAAGATGGGGCAAATGAAAAATACCTCATTGTGTACACAGACAACTTTGTTTAATTTCCTATAGCTCACTATAGTAGAATAAAGTCAAACTGTAAAATAAGCATATAGCATTTATTTCAGTGGAATTGCCGTCACTTTTATGCACCGTTTCCCATTTGCAGGTGCTCAAATGTAACTGGACAATTAAATCTAAGGCTGCGTCATGGTGCTTTACCAGTTTAGTAGATTAATGTCAGCAGGTGATTCCCATCGTGGCATGAAAGCTGCTAAAACTGTGAACCCCAACATACTAAACAGTCAAAGGAGATTCCAGTGCAAGTTAAGCAAATAGTCCATCCAAAAACAAACAAATCAGAAAGACCTGACAAATAGTATGAATCAAATCAACATTTACATTCTGACGAAATACATAAGTACAACTTTCCTAGCATTAAAAAAAAAGAAACAAAAATGATGGAGCATCATTTCAGGACAAAGCCACACAGCCAAGTACAGAACATTCTGCAGGAGGCAGCCATGAATGAACTGATTCTTCATGTTTTGGAGAAATGAGACTAAAATTAGACTCATAATCTGAATCACACAACATTCTTTTGTAAACCACAGAGCAGTCAGCACGATGTTTTGCATGCTTGGCTTCCACTGGTGCTGGATCACTAGTGTTTATGGGTGATCACGGAAGACAGATGCACCTGGATGAAATCTGAAGTGCATGGAGCTAAACTTTCTTCCCAGATTCAGCCAACTGCAGCAAAGCTGACTGGACAGTGTTTTTAAATAGCACAGATGGACAGTGACCTAAAACACACTGTTAAAAATACTTCAGAAACATTTAAAGGCAAAGACATAAAATACTCAACAATGGCTGAGTCGATCATCTGAGCAACTCAAAACAATCGAGCTGAATTTTACCTGCCAAAGACAGAAGTGAAGGAACAAAGACCCCAGATTGAGGAACAACTGAAAACAGCAATAAAAGGCCTAAAAAGGAGGAACCCACTGTTTAGTGTACCTGACTTTAGATTTCAGAGAAATATTGACTGCAAGTAAAGCCAGTCTGTTTGAATGAAAATGAAAATAATATCTGGATGTCTTTTCAATTGTTGATCAGACTATGTGATACTGTAGCAGGACTGTGTGTAATCACCTGGTGGCATCAGATGCAGTAGCAGGCCCTGTGCCAGCAGCATCTGGCTGGAGCGTAGAACACAACCCCAACCGCTGTCGGTGGTCAGAGAGGAGCCGGGGAGCGGACGGAAACCTCGTCTGTATGTAAACCACAGGAGCGATGCAAAGCAGCAACGGAAATGCTGTTGATCTACTGCAACAATTACAGAGGCGCAATTACAATTTTCTCCATTGCTTTTACAGTCACATGACAGATCGTTTCAGGGTTTACGCGGGACAAATGCTCTACTCTTACAAAATGCCTCACCTTCATCTTTGAGCTCATAGGATTTCCCCAGCATGAACACAGGAGAGCGCTTGCTAAATTTAGATTTTTGCTTCAAGGTCCAGCCTGAAAGGGAAAAACTGTAACTGTTTACTTTCAAAAAATAAAGAGGACAAGCAGGTCTGCTCACCACATCACTTATTTTCAGTCTCTGACAGAAAAAGAACTGACCGTATTTGACGCTGTTCCATGCTGAGACCAACTTGTCTTTGAATCTGCCTGTGTCCTCTGCCTCCTGGTCATCTCTGCTCTCTTCTAGGCCCTGGGAAACAGCTGATTCAGTAGAGAAAAAGACCCAATCATCCATGAGGTCATCAGCAGCAGACTGACCCACAAACTGAGCAGAGGAGGTGCTAGGCTTCATAACATGTAGAGATGACCACGATGGAGCAAGAAGAATTGCTCATTATCATCACAGCAGCCTACACACAGAGAAAAAATAATAATAATAGCCCAGTTACATACATATGACGCAATCAGCCATGGATGATGCACCCATATGCAATAATTATAGGATGCATTCTTGGAACACACAAACTCTACTAGCAGATCTCAGAAGCTAATGTTACACTCAGCAAAGCCATTAATGATCCGTGTCAGTAAGGAAAAAGAAAGCACGTGACGGCACCCTGTGACTCAAGGAATTTCAGATATGCCTATTTAACTGCAGCAGGAGACTTGCTGGTTTCTTATTTTAACTAACATTTGGCCACTAACTCTGAAATTTTAGAAAACAGATTTTTGGCAAAGTGCTGCAGTTACATGTTCATGTAATTTGTGCGGCTAGATGAGTAAACAGTGTAAAAGTCCCAGGACAACAGTGTAAAAATCTGCACAACAAGCAAAATGAAGTAAATTATCAGAAACAAATGTGTTTGTGCTGTTCACAAATTGACACAGTGACTGATATATTTTCATGTTCTGAATCATGGGTCAGTTTTCCAGCCTAGCCTTACACTAAAAGCTTATCCCCCCCCCCTCCCTCCGTGGAGATCACCCTTGATTTTTCTTTTACTCTGAGAGAAGGCTTATGTCTGTGAAACTGGCTGTATGAGTTTGTTAATACTAATGTTAATTTGTTAATCAATGAGTTGATGAGATTGAGTTGGTGCTGTTAGCAGAACTTCATAAACAGATCAGTAGCTTAGTTTTGTGCCTCTCCAGTTCAGGCTAAGGGCCTCCTAAGATGGGGAACAACATAAAACTTGAGATAAAAATGATGTAGGAAACGAAACAACACAATGCTCAACTGAAAAAAAGGGTAATTATTTTGACCTCTTAACCTTCTATATTTCAGTTGAATATGTGTATTTCACAGTTACTTTCAAACAGAACCATTTAAAAAAAAAAAAGGGGCATCAAACATAAGGCCCAGGGGCCAGAATCGACCCACAAGAGGCTCCAGTCCAGGTAACTGGACACCTTTGAACAATGTGAAAAAGTGCATGGATTTTGGACTTTTAATTGTATTGTCATGAGTTTTACGTTTGATCTTACTGACAAAAGACACCCCCGCTCCCACACAATGCCTTTCATGCTACACCAAAGTAGTTAAGTAAACAATTAAATAAGAGAAAATATACCGTTTTTCAGTATCTACTATAGATGTCTTGTTTTTTGTGTTTTGTATTTTCTGTAAATGAACAAAACAACTGAGACATACATCCTGTTAAATTGCACATTTTTTTCTTAAATCATGGGCATCTCGGGGATTAAATGTCTAGTTAAATGTCTTTGCACTCAGAGAAAGGGAAGTTTCACTGGTTTGGCCCAGTGAGCTGTATTTGGCCCGCATGATGTAAAAGTTTGACCATGATCTACGAGTTTTAGTTAGTAGTCTCTCTCTTCGGTCGTTCAGTTCAAACGTCTCACAATTGAAATACTTCAGAAGTCCGGTAAAGCTTGGGAAACTGGTTTAATACGGAACAGCTTATTATGATGTGCTCACGTGTTTTTTTTTTTTAATTTTAAAGAAGCATTAAGTCTTTAAGTTTGAATACTTAAATTGTAACGTTACCTTCCATAGGCGAGTGGCACGGAATCAAACTAGTTTACAGTAAACTACAGCGCAGTGTGAATACACCAGTGACACCTCTGTCAAACAAAATTAAGCGAATTAACACATAAATAAATACATTTTACCTTCATTTCGGTAGTGTCATTCTACCTCCGGTGATAAGAATGAGTCCGTGAGCAAATGTGAATGAAGTGTGCCGGTCAGTTTTTGTTTTGTTGGGCTCAGTTTTGCTCGGTCTTCGAACTCTTCGAACAGCAGCGGTCAAGTGAAGTTGCGCTCACTTCCTGTTTATACAGGTCACGTGTTGTCACTCCTGTGATTGGCCAACGGAGGACCAATAACAGTGAGACCCAACTCTCAGGGCGGACGTTCATGTTAGACTCAAAAAGTGAGACAAAAAAAAAGTCTTTTTTGCATTTTATTCTGCACTATAGGCTTTTTTATTTTATTTTTATTTTATTTGTTTTTGCATTGTTTTTTTTACGACAGTGGCTATTAGGTATGTAACAATGTAATGGACAACAATAGTCTGAGAAAGCAAAGTTCTCGTAACACGCCTAACACTTGGACAAAAATAGATGTGACAGCAACATCACAGCTTCCGACTTAATAGAAAGACTAGTCAAAACTGCAGAGGATGGGCTAGCCACATAGATTTGGTAAATTTCTCATTCTAAACGTAATCAGCGTCAGAACATGAACTAATATTAGTAGTAAATCAGAATTTTAAATAAATACAAAGTTACTAAATACAGCAAATAAAAAAAATATAAGAAAAAATAAAAACGTTTGACACAACATAAAGTGCATTTTTTTCCTCACATCACACATAAACCACCACTGTTTAATGTCTAAACATCTAAACGTCATATAAATCTGATTCAAAGATGTTCATCATTAATCAATCAGAACTATAATGTGTGGGTTAGAAAGATCCACAGGCAGAAGATAGACTGCTCATTAAATGTTCACTAGTTTTTTTGTGTACCTCAGGTCCTCTGGTGTCAAGTTAGTTCATCCACAAGGTGGCAGTCTAAACCAGGTCTTGGACCTGGAGTCCAAAATCTATCAAGATTACTTGAACACACAACAATAAACATCACCTTAACACTAAAATCCTCTTGACAGATCTACTCCTGTGTACAACCTACTACGGTTTCACTGACGAGGATGCTCAGTTTTATGGAACTGGGCACTTTTGGATTGCATATTGTTACACATTTAAGTACAAAAACCCAACAAAAACATCACATTATCCCTAAATGAAAACACTGGCACTTTCCTTCACACCTATTACACTATAAACTGTACTTCTGCATAAATAACAAAGAGCGAGTGAAACCGCCAAATCTCCTCTAAGTTGTACTTTCATTACACTTCTGTCTCCACTTTGTCTCCATACCACACTCTGAGCACACTTATATATTCACTTAATAGGTTAAAATATGTAATTGCACATTTCACTATGACCAGCAGAGACAGCTATTTAAACCAAATGCTTGACTTATTGCAACCCTTTCCCCTTATTTTTTTCTCATCTAGAGCACAATGTAAATGTAATATTGAGGACACACACAGAGAAAAACTCACATCATTAACACATTGCATAGCGTCCCAGTGCAAGATCACCTCACCAGTGTCTCAAAATCCAGCCCTTAAACACATCTGGAACAAACAAGCTGATCCCCATTCCAGTTCAGTCACTGCAAGCATTTTGGTATCTTGGTCCAGAGTTCAGGATTGTTTGACCCCCCCAGTGCACGACATAGGAAAAACCTTTCTGTGCCTGATCCCTTTTAGTAACTAAAGACTAAAGAAAATACAGTTCGTGTCATACTGAACTAAATGATAGAGCCGATGTAATGTAATGCCCATTTAAATGAGGCATGTGTGCCAAAATTATGTTCACATGCTCGCTGCTTATGTCTACTTAACATGTCAAGTTATGTTTGAAAACAGAAGGCGGTGACTGAAGATGCTTTCCATGTGAGCCAAATGTATTAACAGTCCAGGTCTAAAAACAGAAATACAAAACGTAGAAACCAGCGTACAGTTAGGTCCATAAGTTTTTGGGACATTTTCAAACCCAAGTGAAGTGAATGATTGCAGATTTCTTTTCTAGGAACCCTTTTGTGAAGGTTGTCAAAGCCTACAAATATGAAATACAGAAGGATCAGAATAATCAATAAAGAAAAGTAAGGAGAAAAAAAGAAACAGCTTCTGATCTAAAGCACACCACATCATCCGTCAAACATGGTGGAGGCAGTGTTAGGGCATGGACATGTTTAGCTGTCAGTGGAACTGAGGCACTAGTGTTTATTGATGATGTGACCGTTGAAAGAAGCAGCAGGACGCATTTAGTGAAGTGTACAGGAACATGCTTTCTGCTCGGTTTCAGACAAACACTGACAAAAATGATCAGACAGCTCTTCACGGTGCAGCTGGATAATGACCTAAAGCAAACTGCAAAATAAACCCAAGAGTTTCTAAAAGCAAAGAAATAGGAGATGCAGACAGACCCATAAACATGCAGCAACTGAAGGCAGATGCAGTAAGGGTCTAGCAGAGCATCTGAAACAGCATTTGCTGGTGTCATCGCAAAAGATTTTCATCTAAATATTAAAAACAATCCTGATTTTTAAAACCATGCTAGTTTGTTTAATTAATTTTGAACCTCTGAAACTTGGGGACTGTGTATAAATATGACTATAACACAGTTAATGCAAAATCTGTGCTAAACCATCTTAAAATCCACTGTGTTGGTGTACAGAGGTAAAAATATATTTTTTAATGTGTTTTTGTCCAAAATGTTATTGACCTAACTGTACTCAAAAAACCTAAATAAAAACTGTTTAAATATTAAAAGAAAAGCATATATTGAAAGGCAAAATTAATTTAAAATAAATAAATAAATAACATGAAATGTAAACCCAAGTGTAAAAAATAAATTGATCAAAATTCACAAATAGAAACAAACAGCAACCGAGTAAACAAGCAGTAAGAAAATTTTCACAGGAGACTTGACATAAACTATGTAACGCCTCAAATTTGACTAAAAGCAAACACAATTTGTTGGGTCTCTAAAAGTTATTTAAAATTATCAGCTGTTTGGAAGGACCTTACACAGATTGTCCATAACAGAAAGTAATCTTCAACATATTGTGGAGCTGACTCACAATAAAAATGCTATTACATAAGAGCATTTAAAAAATCAATTCTGTCTTTCACAGTTTTTTCTTCCTGCTACGAGTTAAGTCTTTGAAACGTCATAAAAAAATATTTAGTCACATGTCAAATCGACACACACGGCAAACACGTGAACATAATTTTGGCACTACTGGACCCCCATACAAGGATAACAGACTCTGACCTGTCTGCGCATGTGGCTGTGTTCAGTTGAAAAGTTGTTCACAGTGTTCTTTACCTTAAGGTCTGCTGTATAATTTAAATTTTTTTAAATATTCTTTCATTTCCCATGTACAGTGTTAGACATGCATTCAGACATATGCATTTGTTTGTACTATATACAACATAATGTGATGAACATACAGTACATACACAGGTCTACATTAGGACACCATGTGCACACGTTTTCCAGCAGGAGTCAGCTGATGCAACTTTGTTCTGTTATCTTTTTTGGTCTTTTTTTCAGCATGTCTCTCCATTTACATTTCGTGTAAATTTATGATATGTTAGCTTGATGCTACAGTTAAAAAGGCATTGCATGGGACAATCGCACTCCCTCTGAAGCTCTTATCACGAGTGATGCTTAGAGCTGCGAATGTTTCCTTTATCAGATTGGATCGTGCTGGCTGCTGTCTGAGCCCCCCGGCGGAGACTGACAGACGAAGCTTCTCCTTTTCCTGCAGCGCTTCCCCGCTTCTCCTCGCCAGACTTGGATATGTCTTTTACCTTGCCTCCCTCTTGTGATCCCCCCTTCATAGGCCCGAGGACTGTTTTGGCCACGCTTGTGAGCTGGGTAACGAAGCTGGCTTTATCCCCTGGAGACATGGGCCGTGACTTGCTCGAGGCGGGTGAGGCTGCATTCGAGGAAGGCGACATGGGGTTCTCCTCCAGGACCTCCAGGTGTTGCCTCTCCTCCTTGACTCCTCTGTTTGTTGGCTTCTCCTCTTTGCATCTGACTGCAGCGTGGGCTTGACCCTGGCTTGGAATTACAGGTGTAGGTCCTTTGAGCTTGGTGGTATCACTAGCTTTATAGCTTGCTCCTTTCTCTATCGTGTCTGTACCTTTACGCTGCTTGAGCTGCTCTGTAGGTGCTTTCTGAAAGGTCCCTTTGTGTGCAGCTGAAGGGCCTTTTGCCTTCTCCTCAGTCTTCTCCTGAGCTTTTGTTGCAGGTCCACTATCTGTTTGTGCACTTTGCTGCTTGGAGTCTTGCTTGAGCAGGCCCTTTGATGTGCCTGAAGGAGACATTTTTTCGCTGGGTTTACTCTTAAAAGTTGCTGCCTCAGAACCGGAAAGGCTTGAACTTGGAGCTTTGATCCCAGAACCAGGCTTAACCTCTGAAGATGAAGCACTGGACTTGATTTCAACTGCAGCTCCACATCCATGACTCTTTGCAACCTCAGCAGGAAGTAACGTTTTACATGTGTCAACGACGCTTGTCTTAGACTCTGCTTTAGAAGCTGCACTCTCAGTTTGTGACCCAGCAAGCTCAGACTCTGTGGTTTGGACTTCTTTCTCTCTTGCTGTTAAGAGTGTGTCACGGCTGAGTGGCGATTCCTGCCTTCCCAGACGTCTCACAGGCTTTAGGCCTCCAACCTCCCCTCCCATAGGAGGAGAGGGGGAAGATGATGATGAAGGAGATGGGGGAGCGGGTCCGTTCTCTCCTTCCATCTCTAGCAGACTTTGTAGACTGTGCTCACAGTGGAAGGACTCTCTCCTGTAGTCCCCGTGTGTCACCTCCAGGCTATGCTTGCGTAATGACACCCCCCCTGTCAGAGGAGAGGGCGATGATGATGATGAAGAAGGCAAAATCTGTGCTCCTAGCTTCTCTGCAGACTGCACCCGCTGCAGCAAAGGGGACCTGGGTGGCTCCGCACTCTTGGGACGTGGGCGGGCAACAGGAGGTGAGGAGTGCAGCTTGGCAGGAAACATCTGCGTGGTATTGGAGCTCCCTACCGTGTGCCCAGTGAGAGGTGGAGGAGAGGAGGTGGTCGGGGACGGGGTGTGAGCCAGGGGAGACAGTGGGATGTTGCCAGCAGATTTGCAGCGAGCCGAGCGGTACTGCCGGTGAAGTTTGGGAGACA